TTTAATCAATTAACTTCGTAAAAATTAAATTTGGTCTCTTAAAATTCCAATCTCCTTAATTAAGTTCAAATTAGGTTCTCAAACTTAATTTTTCACTAATTAAGCCTTTAATAAAAGTAATTTAACCCATTTAAAGTATAATTAAGTCCTTGCATGTAACTAAATCCTTTAATTAGATTCAAATTAATTCTTAAACATAATCAAAATTTAATTTGGCCCATGATTAAATCAAACTGACCTATTAAAAATTTAACTATGTCCTTAAACTTAATATTTATGCAGAATCATCTAATAATCATTTAATTTTACCTTGAATTTTCATTGTTTTTTTAGTTTTAAGTGTAATAGGGTACAATTAAGCCTCAAATTTCTTTCAAAATTGTAGCTTAATTTTTATGTATTTTTAAAATCCCCCCCGACATGCTTTCTCCATGTTCTCGCCTTTCTTTATTTTTTTGTTATTTATTTTGAAAAGAGAAATATGTAATTTTAGGGAATAACTCATAAATGGGTTATGACAATTCTCATTTCTTAAACTATGCCTTGCTTTTTTCTTCAAATCTTCGGTTTCTGAAAACAAACTCATCCTTTCGATTGGCAATAACCTTACAAATCTTGGTAAGTAAACATGACGAGGTTATTTAGCACATGTGTTTTCTTTATTTTAGAAATTTTCTTCAGGTTTTGTTCACTAAAACCACCACATTGTTCTTCCATGTCCTTAAAATCAAAGATAAATATTTGGTATTTTTTTATGGTATTAACATGTGTTGGATCTTTTGAGTTTAATCTTTAAATTTTCATTTTATGTTATAGCATAAACAAAACCATGTCTTTGGTGATTGTTTTTACATGAGAAGATAAATAACAACCTAATCATTGTAAAGACATCAATCTTTTAGTCTTGTCAATTGCCTTGTTTTTACATGAGAAGATAAATAACAACCTAATCATTGTATAAAAACAACAAAGAAGGTCTTCATTTCTAGTAATCTATTTCTTATCTTAAAAAATCATTAATTTACAATTTAAAAATAAATAAATTGAAACATGGGTTCATGTTATTTGATTCATTTAATTTAGCTTTTAGGGTTTTATACAAAAAAAATCCAATTATGATTATTTGCAAGTAACTATTGGTCTAGAATCTTGTTGTTTGATTTGACAACAAACTTCATCTTGATTATTTAGGTTTGTTTAATATGAGGATATATTGAATTGTGTCTCTTTAATGCTCCACAAATATAATGAGTGACTTTCTCATTTAGCAAAGCTTTAATGTCTATGAGTTTGGACTAATAGATGTTATCATATTATTTCAATTCCGTGTATTCATTCAACAATATTTATTCTTGTCATTTGGTTTTGTTTATAAGTTTCTTGAATGTATGTTTAACCGGTATTATTTTAGAGTAATACGATATATTAATGCCTCTAGTGTGTAACAGCATTGGATTTTAATTAATGAATCTCTTGTAGCAAATAATTTAGTGGTTTGTAGTGTAATACTTTTATAATATTGGTTTTTAAATTGTAGTTTGATAAGAATTTTTTTTTGTTTTTTGTTTTCATGGGATGTTGTATTTTTGTAATGCTTCATTGATTATTTCACTCATGTTTTTTACAATACAATTTCACTGTATCTTAGAAATTAAATCTTTAGAAGGAATTGTTTTAGCAAGTGTAATGAATGCATATTTATATTATACTTCTTATGATGCATTCTTAATCTTTAGGAAGTACATTTATAGAATTATTTTCATATTTCAAATATTTTATTCAATTATCTTCCATTATATAATTTGCACACTACCTTTACAATTGATATGCTTTTTAAATCTTTCAAGTTCATAAAGAAACCCTTACATAACTTATTATTCTTTTTTTATAGTCTTGTATTTTTTTTATATCCGTCTAATAACTTCATGCAGATTAGTTTTACAATGAAAGACTCTGATAATCAAGATAAAGGTTGTTAAACTAAAAAAATATTGCACATTTTGTTTTGATATTTACACCAGAACTATTGAGATAGATATGAGGCCAAATACTCATTTTGACAAAGTTGGTTGAAAATTTATGATATTTGCTTTAAAAAAACAAATTGATCGTGCTTTTATCAAAGCACAACTTAAGAACAAATGGATCGCATAAAAAAGAATTAGAGGATATGGAAAAAGTTAATTTTTGAAACTAAAACTGATTGGAGTAGTGAAGCAAAGACTATTTCTGCAACTAATGAGTGATGGATAACAAATCTAGGTTAATTGTTTGGAACTTAATCTTTTCAATTTTATTTATATTCTTGAAGTACTAGATTACTTCATTAAGTTTTATTAATTATTTTAAATTCCTTTTACGTAGGGAATCATAGAAGTAAGAAAGTTTAGACATGTTGGTATTGAGCCTTCATTACATGGAAAATATGATATAATGTTCAGTAGCATGGTAGTTTGATTCAATATTGCAAACAACAGTAGCAACTATAGTAGTGGCAAGGGAAAAGGGAGACAACATTTTATAGCTTAAGGTGAAAAAAAATGGTTCTAAAATAGAAACATAATTATTTTCATGTTTGGATCAATGATATATTTCATTATCATTAATGATTTTTCTAGTTGGTAGTTTTTTTCTCAGATATGATAGAAACTAATGCTTGATGCTTATTGTTTTTAATATAGAATTGCATAAGAGTTATCGATAGCATATATGCACGTTTGTGTATCTATATAAAATCAAATACCATTTATCAACAAAAAAAATGTATCATCTCAAAACATAATAATTATATGTAGTTTTGATATGCAATTCATGTTTTTTTGAGTTGGATGGGAATGTAGTACACATGATAATATTTTCTTGAGATAATTGACAATCCAAATATCAAATTTTCAAAGTTACCATAAGGTAATAAATAACAAAAAAAGTTAATGTTATTAAATTAGAAAAAGTTAATGTTATTGTAATTATTAAGGAATAAATTATAATGTCATTATTTGTCAATGCAAGGAAGTACTATATAGTCAATTCTAGATATCCAAATAAGCATGGATTTTTAGATTCATATAAAGATGAAAGATATCACCTGTCAGAATTTCACCAACTAAAACGACCATAAAGTCAACAAGAAGTATTCAATTGTGCTTACTTTTCAAGACGTTATGTGATAAAACATATATTTAAAGTTTGGAAAAAACAAAGGTGGATAATTTTGCAAAATATGTTTGTGTTTCCTTACAAAATAAGAGTTCAGATTGTAATAGCATTAGTGAAAATACATAACTATATTAGAAATAAGTTGCAAAAAGATATGGTATTTATAGAATTTGATCACCATTTTAATTTCACTCTCAATGATTTCTTAATTGATGTATAAACACATGGAAACCAAATGTCTTCTTGTGTGAATTATGCTTATGATAAGATTGCAACAAGTTTAATGAGACAATAAATATAATATTATAATTCACATTACTATATTTATAATGTGTTAATAATCCAAAACACGTTAATGTAATTGCAAATTAAGAAATCAATATTTTTTTTTGTCATTCATTAGTTACATCATTTTCAATTATAGTTTCAATAAAACACCTTTGATATGCTTTCTAATCATAATTATAAAAATTACTATAATATCAGACACATTCTAATAGACGCTCTCACGACCCCTATAAAACTCCAACCACTCCCACCATAATATCGAGAGAATTTTCACCATAATATCGAGAGAATTTTGAGAGTAACCTAGTAAGATTGACATTATAGAGTGAGAGTAATGTCTCCAAGAACATTTTATCTTAAATCTAAAAACATTTTCCTTACATACCCCAAGTGTTCAACAAACAATTGGTATTGTCTGGAGAAATTAAAGTCTTTATTCATAAATAGACCTCCTTCTTACATACGTGTAGCTAAAGAGCTAATGAAGATAGGCAACCTCATCTTCATGCTTTGTTTCAAATCTTTTACAAGTTCGAAATACAAAATCAATGATTATTTGATATGGTATCATGAAACACGCCAACACATTTTCATCCAAACATTGAAGGAGCTTTTAACTCCATTATCGTCAATGAGTACATCTCTAAATATGATGATTATAAAGAATAGGGTGAATTAAGGGAAGTAGCTTTTGCGTTAACACTAAAATAGATTAAGTTTATGCCACTGCACAAGACAATTTAGATAAATATAGTGCATTAGATTGTATTAAGAAGAAGGCACTAAGATATTTTTTTTAAATCATGATAAAATTAATAGTTATATGGATATGATTTTTTATCCCTAAGCCTGCATATGAAGTCTCATTTCCACTGGTTGCAAATGTACCAATGGACTTATAAGAATAGGACCCATCAACCTTATAAATCAATGTTTTTAATTCTAGAAAGCCTAAGAACAGTAAAACTTATTGGGTAAGGAATCTAAATCGACACAGTTACTACGTGGGACACATTGATCTTCGCAATCATGATAACAATGTTTTATTCAATGTTCTAAACAATATGACCCTCAAATATTTAAAACACTAGAAGAAATTCATAAGAGTGTGAAGATATTAGATCTTAAATTACAAATATATTGAACTAAAAAAGGTGTAAGATGACATCCCCGCTATAATACTTTGCAACATGGGAATGCTAAAAAAGGGCATAAACCTAGGGCAACAAGGAGGTAATTGTTTGATATTGCATTTCAAACTATAATTAGGTGTGTTTTATAAACGTGTTAGTCTTAAAAAGATATTAAATTATTGTTTAGTGTTTTTTGATGATTTTTTGATGTACTGATGTTAAAAATAAAAAAAAATATTATTTTGATGTATTTTCAAAAAAAAATACTTTTGCAAAGCATACAGATCCAATATTTAAAAATTATATAAAAAATGATTGGAAAGGTAAAAAATTCATATATAATTTGATTACTATCAACAAGTCCAAAATCCTTATAAAAAGAGCTAATCATTAGTTTGGGCTAAATGGAGCCCGACTAGTACTATCGGACCCATCCCCAAATTTCACTTTACACCCCTACTCCCCCTCTCTCGTCCGTGTCCCCACGCCCTCGGGCAATGGATTCTCTCTCCCACTTTCCCTCGCTACTTCTTCCCGCTAATCGCCCTTTTTTTCTTTTCTGCAGCCGATCGGATTTCAAATCAAATTTTCTCGCGAAACAAACACAAGAAAAGAAACAGAAATCTTCCTTCTCATTTTCTTGCACTTTCTTAGCTAAATTGAACTCCAATGAATTCACGAGAGCTCGCTCTTGTCTCCACAGCCACAGTCTTCGGAGCTTTAGCTTCTGCTTTTGCTGTTCGCTTCTACTCCAGCAACAGCACTTCCAGAAAGCAGTTTTCCAAAATCAATTCGGATCCAAACTGTGACGTTTCGAAGAAATGCTCTTCTCAGAGCCCCCTTGATCCTTCCAAACGCAAAGAGTTATTGACATTTCAACTTTGTGCTTTTTCCGCCTTCATCTGTTAAAGGATTGAAGCTTTCACTGTCTGATTTTTACAGTTTTAAGTGCTTTGTTTTAATTATATTTTTTGATTTCAGGTATTTATCATGGGATGATTATTTTATGGCAATTGCACTTTTATCAGCTGAAAGGTCCAAAGATCCAAACAGGCAGGTCATAATATATATTTTTTTCCTGGGGGGTTGAAATGCTTTGTTGGGTTTCTACTGTAGGTGTTTGATAATATGTATTTGGTGTTGTAGGTTGGGGCATGTTTGGTTAGTCAAAATGGCATAATTCTTGGTAAGTTGATCTTGTATGTATTTTTCCTTGCTTTTTATACATGAATCTTGAACTCCATCTGCTTTTTAATTTCTTTTTAAATTGAATTGAAAATGATAATATGAAAATTGTAAGGATTGATGGCATTTGCAGAAGTGAAAAGTTAGATTCTTATAATAAAGAACAAAAAAAAAAAACAGATAGAGAGAAGAATATATGGTGCAATTGAGATTTAAAGTAGAACGATTTCATTCTTTTACATCAGAGGTTCTGTTCTTCTCTTAAGAAGTTGAATAAATGGTAAATTCCACTGATTTTGGTATATTTCTGATCATGCTGGAAGAGCAATCACGCAGGTTCTGTCGTTTTGAGTGTGATGGTAGTGATGCTCATGCGCATTGTGATATATTTGATTCTCATGCTAATTTCTTTGGTCAGGCATTGGCTACAACGGATTTCCAAGAGGCTGTTCAGATGACGACCTTCCGTGGGCAAAGGTTGGTATATGATGTGTAAGTTCATCATATCATTCGGGAATTGCATGTAATAAACCTCCTCTGTTATGTTTCAGAAATCCAAATCTGGTGACCCTCTTGAGACAAAGTACCCGTAAGTGTGCTTTCATTGATTCCACTCCATCTTGCTGCTTCATGTGATACATGCTCTGCTACACATAGAGACATATAGTTATTGTATATGAATATAAACCACATTTTCTTGTTAATTAGTCGATGCACTGTGCAAGGCAGATTTTTAGCACAAGAGATAGAATTTGTGATTCACCACCATTCTCAGTGTTTGGCATTATATTTTAGAAGTGGTTTTAAAAAAATTTAAAATTTTTTATTTTTATTTTTATTTTTCTTTAAAGTAATATGTTTGTGATGTTTTCAAAGTATTTTAATATACTGGTATGAAAAATAATTTTTTTTAAAAAATATTATTTTAATATATTTTGAAATGAAAAATATTTTGAAAATCAATCGTTATCACTCTTTCAAACACCCTTATGTGATGCATGTATTATTACACGGAGATATATAGTTATTATTATACAATATATTAAAAGTGATTAATATTTTACTATTTATTATTTTACTGTTCACTAAGATATAAATTACCATAAATTAGAGCGGTGTAATAATATAATTATTTCTACCAAAAAAAACTTGTTAAATATGCAGAAGGGGTGAGATTGTCTTTTCTATGGTATACATTTGATATTTGAAGAATAATTGAGGACAAAATGGTTTGTTTGGTTTTTTTAAGCTGTAATATAAATACTGATTTGCCTTTTAAGGCATGTAATTTTAACTTTGTGTTGGGGTTTTTCTTGTTTTTTTTGTTTATTGAAAAAGTTTAAATATAATTTTAAAATTCTGAATGATTCAGTGTGATTTTTAAATGTGGATGGAAAGAAAAAAAAGAGGAGTGGAAAGAAAGTGGGTCTATTATTCTTGTTAGACCTAACCAACAAGGGTCTACCTTGGGTACTGCATGAATAATATTATTATTAATATTATATTTATTATTATTAAAATAATTATTAATAAATTTTAAAAAAATATTATTACTATAAAAAATCATAAATTTATTTTGAAGGGTAAAATAAAAAATTGTTATTATTATTGTTTTTATTATTATTATTATTATTATTATTATTCTTTTCATTATTGTTAATATTATTTATATAATTATCAATAAATTTTAAAAAATATATTATTATTATTGAAAAAAATAGTAATAAGGTCTTGTATGGTTGCCACATCCAAGTTTTGTTAGGCCTTGTATAGTTGCTAGACCAAGCCATTTAGGTATGATATTTTTTCAAGCCTATGTAAATTTAGGTCAGATATGTTTAATATTATTATTAATATTATAAATATAATTATTGATAATTTTTTTTAAAATATTATTAGTATTCAAAAAAATTATAAATTTGATTTGAAGGGTAAAATTATTATTACTGTTATTGTTATTATTATTTTTAATATTATTTATCTAATTATTAATAAATTTTAAAAAAATATTATCAGTATTGAAAAAAAATAGTAATAAGGTCTATTATGTTTTCCAAATCCAAGACTGCATGGGTCTGGCACATTTAATATTATTAATTGAATTATAAAAAAATAAAAAATATTATTATTATTGAAAAAAAAATATAAATTTAATTTAGAGGGTAAAATTAAAAACTATAAAAAAAACCAGGAGAACAAAAAAAAAATTAAAAGTAAAAAAATTGAATTGAAAAATATCATGGGTCTAACATCTTTGGTTGACTCAAATTTGTTTGGGTCTTGCGAAATCCAAATAACATGGGTCTTACATATTGCCAAGCATAGGTAAACATGAATTGGGCATGTTTAATATTATTATTTATTTTTTTATGTTATTATTTTTATTAATAATAATAAATTTGAAAAAAAATATTATTGAAGGGTAAAATTATTATTACTGTTATTGTTATTATTATTTTTAATATTATTTATCTAATTATTAATAAATTTTAAAAAAATATTATCAGTATTGAAAAAAAATAGTAATAAGGTCTATTATGTTTTCCAAATCCAAGACTGCATGGGTCTGGCACATTTAATATTATTAATTGAATTATAAAAAAATAAAAAATATTATTATTATTGAAAAAAAAATATAAATTTAATTTAGAGGGTAAAATTAAAAACTATAAAAAAAACCAGGAGAACAAAAAAAAAATTAAAAGTAAAAAAATTGAATTGAAAAATATCATGGGTCTAACATCTTTGGTTGACTCAAATTTGTTTGGGTCTTGCGAAATCCAAATAACATGGGTCTTACATATTGCCAAGCATAGGTAAACATGAATTGGGCATGTTTAATATTATTATTTATTTTTTTATGTTATTATTTTTATTAATAATAATAAATTTGAAAAAAAATATTATTACCATTAAAAAAACCATAAATCTAATTTGAAGGGTAAAATTAAAAACTATAAGAACTTTGAAAAAAAAAAGGCTAAGGCAAAAAAATAAAAAATCAAAAGTAAAATGATTGAATTGAAAAGTGCTGTTGATTTGATATGTTTGTCAAACCCTCTTAATCTTGAGTTAAACATGTTTAATATTATTATTAATATTATATTTATTATGAATAATAAATTTAAAAAAATATTATACAATATACTAAAAAAGCTAAGTGTTTTTCTCACTGTTCATCTACACACTTATTATTATGGATTGAAGTAGCATAATGATAGAGTTTTCCTTGTCAAATAAACTTGCTAAGCTTACAATAATAATGATAGAGTTTTCCTTGTCAAATAAGCTTACAACAGGGGGTGAGATTTTTTTTTCACAAGATGTATTTGGTATTGAAAGAATAATTAAAAATAAAATGGTCAGTTCAGATTTTATTGGGACATGATAAGGTTGTTAGGCTCCAAGTTTTCGGGCAAGACAAGATAGCTAATCTCAGATGCTGGGATATGGCATGACTGCTAAACACCTAACACTGAGGTCAAGCATGACTATCATATCCTAGATACTCGGGTCAGGTGGAGTAACCATAACTTGGGCGCTCAGGTCAGGCATGGTGTTTGGATCCAAGGCTCCTGAGTTTGATATTTTAGACATATCCAAGATTCTTGAATTTTAGCTTTTTTTATATTTTTTATGGGAAAAAAAAATAGTTAGCTCGTGACAAAAGTTAGCTCATGGCATAGTACGAACCATCTAACTAGTTATTGCTATTGAAAAAAAAATCATACTTTTGATTTAAAAGATAAAATTAAAAATATCATAAATCTAGTATGGTTATCAGATCTAAATTGCTTCGATATGCCATAGTGTTTACAAATCTAATTTTCAATTGGTATTACCATATCAATTTATATTGTTTGTAAATCAATCCACAACAACGCTAGGAATGGCATAGTGTTTACAAATCTAATTTTCAATTGGTATTACCATATCAATTTATATTGTTTGTAAATCAATCCACAACAACGCTAGGAACATTTTCTTGTTAATTAGTTGATGCACTGTGCAAAGGAAATTTTTAGCACTAGACATAGAATTTGTGCTTCACCACCACAATAAAATCATATCTTCCAATACTCGTGCTTCTTTGAGATTTAGACTAAATTACCTTTTGTCTTGGCTAATGCTGATAGCTTATGGTTTCTAGCTGATACCTCTAATTGTCTGTTGTAGTTATGTTTGTCATGCTGAAGTCAATGCTATTCTGAACAAAAATCATGCTTCTGCTGTTGGGCAGGTAAGCAGTTGTCTCATTTCCTACTATATCCATTTTACATTCCACACCCCAAGCACATACACAAACAAACTCTTCTTCCGCTATGGGATTTGACTAGAATTAAAGATATATTCATTGTGAAACGAGTATAGGTGATTATCAATATCATGCATAATTGTTGATATTGTTTGCCGAGTTTTCTAGCGATCCTTAAAATAAAGGCTGTTTGTCACCAATAGAACTAAGAAATGTCTCCCCCTCTATAATTATCGCAGAGGCTTTATGTGACTATGTTCCCTTGCAATGAATGTGCCAAGATAATCATTCAGGTTTGTTAACCAAGCTCCCCTGCGCTATATGCTACATGAGTGTCTCAGTGGGATTTCCTTCTTTATCTGTGTGTGTGTGTGTGGGGTATAAATTATGAGCAGGCAAAAAAAGAGAATGTGCTGCTTCCATTCCGTTTTTCAAGAAGTAGATAAGAGGCCATTGGAGCTTGGTTAATCTGGAAACCCGAGGCACATCTCCATTGTTTAACCTGCCCTTAACAATTTTGAAACATTTCCTTTTTACAGATTGATGCATACTTGCTTTCGATAGCAACATATACTGCAATCCTCGCATGAAACCTGAAATGAAAACGGATAAGAACATTATAGTTTATGTTTTCAGTCGACGTCTTTCTAACAAGGCTGTATAAGAATTTAGGTGGCAACCTGCAGTGTTCAACTATAGCAGCCTGCTGCATAAATATACACGAACTTTATGAGATAAAGTGCTGAAAACCCTAATTAACCTTCCAGTGATAGGCTGACAAGGCTGCTACATGATGTGATCTAAATAATTTTTCTTTATTGCCTAGAAAAATTGGCTCTCTGTGGAATCTAACTCTTTGCCACCGTGCTGGTATTTGTTTACAAGCTCTAGAAATGTGCCCCATTCTCAGTACTCTCCTTCATTTTTCCTATTTTCTTGCCTTTCACAATTGATTTCTAAATGGATTCAGCCTGTCTTCTTTGTTGCAGTCGGGCGTGTCTGAAGTTATATATTTTATAGAGAGGAACAATTCAGATATGGCGTACATTGCTTCACACAAGTTACTGTCCATGGCTGGTATTAAAGTAAGTTTTGCTTGCTGTTTCGTTGAAGCTCCCACTGAGGTTTATTTTGGCCAAAGCACTTCCTTTGTTTGATACATCAAATTGTGTATTAACTGGTACTGATAACCAGTCAATGACACCAAGCTTACCGTGCCATGGCAATACATGCCCCAAACTGTTTACGGCGCACGTTAACAAATGCTTCAACCCAACATGGATAATTTGCAGCAGCTTTGGGATTTCAATGCATTTGACTTTTCATAATCTATTTTTAATCGTACTTGTACTTCCAATGGCAGCTCAGAAAACACCAACCCCAGACGGACCGAATTTCGATCGAGTTCCAAGAGCCCTAGATAATGACTTTATTGCTGTTCATTTGTCAAGCCTGAGCATCACTTGCAGTTATAAGATCAAGCCTTGTTATAACCTGTATGTTGCATCTTTCATTAACTGACGATTGGAACCTCTCACCAAGAAAAACTATCTATCATGAAGAATTCTTGGATGCTAGCTACAATTATCCAGGAGATACGAGTATGGTTGTGTATTTTACCATCTCTGTCAGGAAAAACAAGTATGGCTGTGTTGTATCATCTCAGTCAACAGCTTTAGCTAGGTCGGGGTGATGACAAGGTAACAGCTTGGACTGCAAACTCAGTTGGGCAGTTATCGCAAGCTGTTTATAGTGGATCCCTCTTTCTACCCTGCACAGAATTCCTTTGTGTCGTTTGATATTATCATCTATTGATGTTCTTAGCATGGAATTACGCAAACTATTTGCTTAATAGGAAAGGAAAACCTTAAAAACTAGAGAAACCAGATTGGGTGACTCATGCCATGTAACATTGACCCGACAATTCAGTAGGAGTTCTACTGCCCTTAAGTGGTATTCATCAAAATGAAACATGGAGTCAGAAATCGTTGGTGCTTTTGTTGTGGAAATGGTCTGCTCTGGTTGTTTCAACATAAATGTTCTAAGTTTCAACCAAATCCAACCAATAAGTGCTCGTTTCATGGAACTGGCCTCTGCCAAATGCTACATTTTGGTTTTGTTTAAACCTAGTAAATTAGTTCTGTGGTATACAACAACGTTGAAAACAAGGGCATGGTGGGGGGCGGGTTAAATCCTTAAAATTTTTAAGGGAACAACAATGCACAGTTGGATTCTCCCTTCTCAAACGCTAAATATTTACCCAAGAAAGGACATGGTCAAAAAAAGTAGAATTTCTTACTTCACCGGACAGTTTACCTGTATCTGCACTAAATGCTAATATTGGAACTTAATCAGCATTAAGGGCATCAAGCTGCTTCCGAAGATCTTCAATGTCATCAAACGTAGTTGTAGCTGGTTCAGCAGCTGGTAGTTTTTGAAACTCATCTGCAGTTGGGAGCTCATGAGTAAGACCTTCAGGAAGAGCATCTAAAGAGGACAAAAAGGGAAACAGAATCAACATTTTAATTAGGAGCAAACACTTTGGAGCAGGAAATTTGAGATTCAGATACAATGGGAACATTGAAGCACTGTAAGACTAACCCTGGAATTTAAGGCCTCCACAGCAATCAAATGCTTAGCAATATGATGAGATCTTTTTGTCCTTTTATATGGGGGGAGGTGTGTTTAATTAGTCATTTTATTCTTTATTTGTACAAAGGGTGCCATTGGCAGGAGAATGGAGATGGCTGCCCTGCAGGTTTCATGTCCTTGGCCCTCTAAACTACACCAACCAAGTGTAGTTTATTGAAAACTTGGCAATTAAGTCCAACAGTTGAAAACTAAGGCATCCAAAATTCATAAAACTCAGAGGATAAGAACTAGAGATCACCTGAACTTGTGGCATCTGTCCTTTCTGGCTCATTATTGTTGACAACACTGAAGAAACACCAGGAAAAAAAAACAGTGAACATGGTGCCTAGACTTCCCAGAAAAGAAAAAATGGATGATAACTAGTAAATTATGGCAGGGAACTCTTGTTAAAACATACCAAACATCTCTCCCAAAACAATTGACCAACCAAAGCACTTGTATACAATCATATTTTAGGTTGCGTTTAGTTGTGGAAAATATTCCAGTTCTCTAGAAAAAAAAAAAACTAAAGGAAACGCATTTCCTAACTGAAAATAAAAATTAATTTATGGGGAAAGCGTGTTTTCTGTTTCTCTATCTTTCCAGAAAAATAGAAAACATCAAATTGGTTGTTTTTGAAATTCTTCACTACAAATACAGGCTTCAATGGGTTCACCTAATATTTTATGGTCATTCCTTTTAATATTTTCAATTTATGCCAAAAAGGGCCCTGGTTTTCAATTTTGAAAAGAAAAAAATTGTATGTAGCAAACATGTTTTCCTAGTTTTCTGAAATGGAACAAAAACACAACTTTTTTGAGCATGAAATATGTTTACAAGCTATAGACCTATGTACAAGATAATGATATGGTATGCACCGATATATCATCCTAAGAACCACCTGATGTCCCATTCATTATCCGCATGGAGTAGGCCTTCTGGAACTAATAAATTAATAATGCTTCTGCCTCCATCTTGGCTCTGATTGCAGCATCCCTAGCAGGCTTTTCAAGGAGGTATTCTTTCTGCATGGTACATATAATTATTACAGTCCACAAGAAATCTGAAAAATGCTAAATGGATAGATTTCCCAAGAAAGATAGCTAGATAGCTGGTAGAAAATCAAGGTAGATCTGGCTTTTATACCTGAAACTCTAGACAAGCTGCATTTAAACATTGAGGATTTGGCCCCATTTCCATGGTTGGGAAATAATCTTTAAGAGAATTGTAACCCTGCAACCATGCAATAAAGTCAGAATTTGTCAAAACCAGTCAGGGAATCAACATTCATTCAGCTAACTCAACAACAAAACTAGGTGACAAGAGAGAAACATAAAGTTCTATATACTAGTTAAATTCAGCTACCAAAATGGACAATAAGAGAAAAAGATGATTAACATGAAATTTACCAGGTAAGGAGAGACATGTCCAAAAAGTAGCAGGAGCTTCAGCGTATTTTGCACCAAGAGCCCTGCAACAACTGCCTGAAATGCAATTCATATCAATGGATATTAACATCCAATGCAGCAAAATAATATCAGAGGGGGGGGGGGGGGGGGGGGGGGGGGGGGGTGTTTCTATTGAAAGCACCACTGGGGATCATATGCCTATAAAAGTTGATATAAAATGTGAAAATCACATTCCAGCAGACATCAACGTAATGATATTACTTCTAGAAACGAGATAAGTTAACAAAGTTTGTGAAGGAACTATCATGGTGGTAGGTAACCATGCTGCACAGGCCCCTTCATGCTTGAGCGTGCGCTCATCCACTCCAGATGCCACAACCTAATTAAAGTGAAATCCTTTCTTGATATTCTATTATTTAGAGAAAAAAATCTTGATGATAATTGCAAAGGTATCCAATTAATTTTATTTTTTTTATCAAAACTTGTGAACTCAGATAGCTAAGAATTTCAAAGAACAACTCCAGAATCTAACATTAAGGTCACTGATTTTACAATGAAGTTCCATTAATCACCATATTTAAGTAACATACCAGAGAAGGTGCACAAGCAAAACAAGCAGTTTCTCCAGGAATCAACAGTTGTATGTGACCTGAGACTGCATCCTCGGATACACCTGTAAGAAAACTCTCCATTCAATCTCATTGCTGGATGCCAAGTGCCAAGAAGGTTGGCTCATGACACAAGGTATACAAGACAAACAACCTTTGACAGAAAAAATTCAAAGCACGAGAATTAATGAAGTTCAAATTTAGGGGATTTTAACTCCATTTATATTCCACGCATGGAATTTGAATTATAAAGGAAAGGAGTGTCCTAATTATTTGCCATTCAACAGTTCAGAGCAAATCAAATTATATGCAATTCAACTCTATGAAAAGCCTTCATTGTCCAAAGAAGATATTCAGGCATGAACAGATTATACAAATCCAGAAATCATAAACGACAGGGTCATGTCATTGCATAAATTCAGATACAAACAATGTAACACTTGACTTGTTATCGTCGAATCAATTGGACAAAGGTAATGGAGAAGGTGAAGTTTACTCTGGCCGGATCCAAAACAAACTTTTTATGGAAGCATATATTGAAAACCTTTTTACACAGCATGCTTGTACATATTTTCTTATGAAAAAGCAATTTGGGAATACAGGGAGCGCACACCAATCTTATCATTTTCAAGTAAATAATAATTTAGGATGATGTTGCTTACCAGACTCCATCCATGTTTGATTCAGCTCATTGCAAGCCTGCACATGCATGAGAAAATTATTTATGAAATCTATAATATTTAAAAGAATTTTAAACTCCAAAAAATGTGACAACAAAATTACTAAATTTGAATTTTTAAATGAACTTCAGACAAGGCAACCAAAAAGTAAATAAAAAATAAAAAATATCAAAATGAAAAAATTACATAGTAGGCTATCAGGCCTTGCACATGCCAAACCAAAACCACAAAGTGGGAATTTACTAATTAAAACGGACTTCTTTACCTGGTTAACAGCCATCCTTGCTTCATAATTATCCACACAGCTCAAAAAAAGATCTACACCACTGCCTTCTTTATCTGGGCGAAATGACTTATTTTTTAAACTTGACATAAAGGTTTCAAATCCTTGTACTGTTGTGATGTTCAGTGTGAAGCTCCGAGCAAGAAAGAGACAATCAGCACACAGAAATAATAGGAATATAATCAAGTATTCTTTCTTCATGTCATCATTTTCAGATAAATTCATATACAAAACAAATCAATGCATAGCACTTGAGTTGCCAAAATGCAAATTATCAGAAGAAATGAAGCAACATGCTATCAGATTATATAGCTACATAATAAATGTTTACCCTATATTTGTCCTTTTCACTATGCCAAGTCTCTGGATCTGAACCAACGACCCCCACCACACAAATGAAAAGAAAGAATGAAAAAACAGAGCTTTTGCATGTGCAAAACAATCCATAGAGCAATTTTTTGAAGACACTCACCTCAAGGATGAAATCAGGATTTATGTCTGAGAGGGTCTGAGTGGCAGCATCAGTCTTTGTCATGCCAACCTATGAAAGCAGGTGTTGTTTTGATTAACGACTACATATTTGATTTTTTATACAATTTCAAGATGAGCATAGTAGCCAACACATTAACATGAGTCAAAAAAAGAACCTTCTCATATGATTAAAAAAAGGTCTGCTGTTTTTGTTCAAAACCATCGAGCTATATTCAGAAGTTGTTCACATGAAAGTGAAAAACCTGTTCCGGACGGAAGAAAAGCCTATTCATGTTAGCTAACTCCACTTTGTCATAATCATACAACAAAAGACGACCTATGCCACACCTTGTTAACATCTCAGCTGCAACACTACCTAAGCCGCCAATTCCCTGCTGTCATATGGAAAATAACCAACCAAAACAATATTTCCAGACTAGGATAGTGAAGGAATCGTGGATAGTATTCAATTTAACTTGAAAAAATATATATTCATAACAATTCTTCATCAAGTTTTCAATCCTAAAAGCAACAAAAGAAAGAGCAAGAGGAGATAAATAGCAAATACAGACAATAATGGCAACCGAGAAGTCCCGAATTCTCTCATAAGTGTCCACAATACCCATCCTCTGAAGTGCCATTAGCCTACTATACGGATTACTATCCACCACCTCCGCACTCATATCCTGTCACCACCACCACCACAAGAACAAAAAAAAAAAATCACCATCACAAACCCACAACCCTATACACCACTAAACAGTAATTCAAAACCCATAGACGAAACCATGACTGTCGTACGCCCACCAGGTGCAGACCTGGCCAGCTTCGTGAGATGCTCAACACGCGACTGCAGCTACATCATCAAAAACAAAAAGAAATTTAAAAACAGAGTAGGTTTTCTTTTTTTTTCAAAAAAAAGGAAGAAGAATAAATCTGGATTAGTAAATAAATAATTATTCGTAATCGATCCGAAGAGTAGAGAGAAAAGGCAGATGCAATTG